AGTTATAGTAATAACAGTCATTATTTTTGTTTTTCTAACTTGGAGTTCACTGTAAATTGGTTATCAAATGCTTTTTATTAATTTATTCTAATGAAGCCTATATGCTAACATAACATCAGAAATTCAACTTATTGTAGTAGCATACCTAAAAAACCCATCTTGGTATTTAACTGTAAAGCCAATTCTTTATTGTATTTACTTGGCAGCTTTCTTGGGAACTTCAGCCTCTCTCAAGCTATATCTTAAATTATGAGTTATTCCCATCTCCCTTATTCCCTCTGTTCTACCAGGTGGTTGACCTTGAGAAGTTCTGCAAGCGGTGCTTTACCTTCTCCCCATAATGCCATTGTAGTCCAGCTTCTTGATGTGCTCTTCTTTAAAGTTTCCCTGGCCTGATGGCTCAGTTTTCTTTTCCCTTTTGTCAGTGGCAGTTTCATAACTAAACTGCTTATTGCCACCACGAGGCCAAGTCAAGTGTGGACATAGGACTGACTATAGGGACAGAATGAGCGCTTGCTGCACTACAAGGGCTGCTGTGATGGATATGACTTCTGCAGTAGGACCTACAGATATTATTTCAGAGGAGCAATTGCCTATCATATATGGATCCTTTAAAACTCAAGGACTGCCAGCGCCTGTAATTTGTAGCCATACTCAGACAATTTTACGACCGCACCTAAATGTGAAGTGGGAGAAAGATAGTGAATTGATTCCTGAAAGCATTTAAAAGACATGTAGTTAAAATGTCTATAGTAGCCCTAACCAGTTTGGCTCAGTGGATGGAGCATCGGCCTGTGGACTGAAAGGTCCCAGGTTCGATTCTGGTCAAGAGAATGTACCTTGGTTGCAGGCACATCCCCAGTAGGAGGTGTGCAGGAGGCAGCTAGTAGGTGTTTTTCTCTCATCAATGTTTCTAACTCCCTATCCCTCTCCCTTCCTCTCTGTAAAAAATCAATAAAATATATATATATTTTTAAGTGTCTGTAGTAGACTGGCAAAAATAATGAAAAGCTTACCTTTTTATAGGCCTCTTGAGCTCAGTACATGATTTTTTTTTTTTTACAAGTACCCCTTCCTTTATTTAGACCCGCAAACACTAACTGCTGACTACTTCTTAATGCTCTTTTAAAATAATTTCAGGTTACTCACAGATATCTGAGAAACTCTTTTAGTTTCACAAATCACTGTGCATTTGAAATGCAATGTAATGCCAATGCAGAAAGTATATATGAAATGAGGCTGAAACTTTGTAATTTTTTATGGATCAGTTACATTTTAGAGAAAAGCAGTATTTGGTCCTTTGTGTATTTATGCCACAGGAAAGAAGGGTAATTTACAACTGTTGATTTTAAATTCTAAACCTATATAGAAATCCAGATGCTACCAAATAAATAGAATTCCTGTTAGATTTTTTAAAATTATAAATCAGATTTACATGAGAGAGGATTAAATTTATTCCTTGTATTTCTCTGACAATAGCATAAAAAACACTATTCTCAAATTCTTGATTCATCTTAGTATAACTTTTCTTCCAATTCCTTGGATTATAATCTGGAAAGTCTGTCTCATCTGAGTACAAGAATTTTGTATTGTTTTCATTTTTCCTCTTTCCCCATCAGCTCTGATGTTAAGCTTTTCTTTCAGTTATAGTCAAAGGGAGACACGCATGGGTGATTTGCAGTTAAGTGCTTGCCTCCAAGCACATAAATGCCTCGACTTCACATTTAATCAAGATCCATGCCTTATGCCATACTCCTGCTCTTTTGTCCTAGCACTAACAGATGGTGGCACAAGATCCCTGCGGCAATCTAAGGTTGTACATCTTCTGGTCAGAAAAGGAAGAGGGTTACTATGAAAAATTGAGTTTTCTTTTTGGCTTCTTGCTTAAAAAAAAATTAATGGAAATTTGGTGTGAGGTTTTCAGGTGGTACCTTAAAAACTTATTTTAATCCATGAAACAAAACAAAAGCAAAAGGGCACATTATATTTTATAAATGGGCTTGCTAAAAAGACAACTGCTATATTTATGTCCCCATTATTGTGTACATGACATTTTGAATAATGTGAATTATAAGAAATCTAGTAAGTGACAGCATACAAGAGGACAGGTTTCATCTATTTATGCTTAAGTTTTCTGTTGTAAAAAATAACACCAGTGGTTGCCAGGTGACATACATTTCAATTTGTTAGTTCAGTAGGATCTGAAGTTGATGTTTATGCTCTGTGATTAGTATGATGGATGACTTTTAGACAAGTTTACTGCATTTTTCTGGGCATCTGTTTTTTGTTTCAACTAATAAATAAGGTCTTAAGCACTACATATATCTTTTGTAGTACATAAAATGTTAGAAACTAAAATAGTACTAGCTGTGTGAAAATGCACTGTGCTTATTCGAGGAAAAGAAAATGCATTGATGGAGTTTCAACATTGCATAATCTTGGCTACTTATCTGTAGTACCAATGTCATGGATAAACACATAAATGAAATGCAAATTACTTTTTCAAAGATAATAAATACATGGAAGTATAATTACCTATACACTTTCCTATTGCTTTAGCCATTTGACAACTCGAGCTTCTCTTGATGTTAAGAGAGTGTTATGGTTCTATAACCCTGGGTAGTCAAGCAGTGCACAGCAAAGCGGTTCTTAACATTTTTACCAGAGCATGTGGTTAGAAATACATTTTACGTACAGTAGGAATACACATACAGTTAACTACGCATGTGCATATAATAATTCAAAATTTCGCTGTTTTTACCTTATTCTGGGTAAAATTTGTCCTATTTTGTTGCTTTTGCTGGTGGTGTTCATTCTGGTCTCTTCAAGAAATTGCTGGTCCTTGTTCACTAAATGCATTTCAGAGTTTCTAATGGATTGGGACCCACAGTTTGAAAAACATTGCACTAATCTGCACTTACTATAAAAAAATGCATTATTTTTGTAGAATTTCTCATATTATTTTACTAAAATTACTTTTCTACTCTATTGATCACATCAGCTACTAGTCTCTTAAGAAATCTTTAGACTTCTCTCTTATTAGTGTGTATATTTAAAGTATGTAAAGATAGAGGATCTATACTATACATAGAAACAATTTTAAATTGAATGTTTTAATGAGCTTACCACTCTATCTTTAAACATATGCCATGCCTCTTTTAAAAAATATATATTTTTATTGATTTTAGAGAGAGGAAGGAGAGGGAGGGAGAGAGATTGAGATATCAATGATGAGAATCATTGATTGGCTGCCTCCTGCACGCCCCCTACTGGGGATCGAACCCTCAACCCAGGCATGTGCCATTGACTGGAATTGAACCCAGGACACTTCAGTCCATAAGCTGACGCTCTACCCATTGAACCAGACTGCTATGCTTCTTCATTGTTCAGCATCAAATAGCAATTTTATGTTTTATTTCCTTGATGTTTTTCCTTATTTGCATCTTCATTTCAGGTGTTCTTGTTATCTTTTATTTTTAATAGGTCATGTTTTTAATAACAGATACATGAAGTGACTTGGTTTCATTGAAAGGTTCTCTCTATATATTTTATCAAAGATAGAAGTAGGAAAAAAAAAGATAGCATTAGGGGTTTCTTGACTTTCTATATCACTAAATCTGTTCAGTACTTCTTTTCATCATTAGAGGTGGTTTGAAGAGTTGAATGAAAAACATAGTAGTCATATAGAAATACAGTTTCCTCTATCACTCCATATAAAATATGAAGTGATTTAATTGCTAATTTTAAAAATTTATGACAGCATATAGCAAACCATAAAGGGTGGGGCAAAAGTAGGCAACTGTAAACCTACTTTTGCCCCACGGTATATATAGTGTCCAAATATATATACACACACACACACACACACACACACACACACACTTTTACAGCTGATAACTCACTTAATTTTCACTCTTTTTCAGATTTAACTGATATGAAATAATGGCAAGTCAGACTAAGCTTTGAACAAAGAAAATTTATCCTAAAGTGCCACTAGACTTTTTTTTTTTTTTTTTAATGGAGATACATAACATAAAGTTTATGGAACAAAACTGCAATAGTCGACAAATTGAGGTTGCGTAAAGACCGAGTGAAATGATTTTTGATGTTTACAATTCCATTGCTTTGCATTATCAGTGCTTGAACTAGAATGGTCATCAGTTTGAAAACAGGCATTTACAAATAGACAAACAAACAAAAAAAAAATCATTTCTGTAGATTCTTTTAAATCTTGAAAATGAATTATCTATAATAATAAAAGCATAATATGCAAACAGCCAAACAGCCAAACAGATGACCTTCCAGACAAAGCCGAGGCAGCTGGGGCCTCGAGGGCCGAGGCAGCGAAGGCCTACTTTTGCACGAATTTTGTGCATTGGGCCTCTACTATGTTAATAAACACTGATTTTATAATCATTCCAAGTGTGTAAATATATGTAAAAATAATACACTGTCATAGAATTCAGAAGGGAAGTAGAAAAAAGACATTCCTACTCTGAACAGACAGATTTGGAAATGACATTAAAAAAGTAAGTTTAGTATACAAATGGTATATTCAGAAACAATTCCTTTATAATCTGACTGTCAATAGATAAAAGATTGCATTATAAAGTGTTTTGTACAAAAACTCAAAACCATGTTGTGGAAATGAAGGTAATCCTCTATAATAAAAGGCTAATATGCAAATTGGAAGTTTGACCGACCAGGAGTTCGATCAGTCACCTGCTGTGATGCGTGCTGCCCACCAGGGGCATCATGGAACAAAGGAAAGCCCTAGCTGGCAGCCAGAGGAAGGAAGGCCCTGATTGCCAGCAAGGTCTAGGGACCCTACCCGTGCACGAATTTCATGCACTGGTTTTATATAAATTGCATACATTTGAATGTATACTAAACAAATTTTCATTTGGATGGTGAGAATTCTTGAAGAATGTATTGTATATAAAATTGTCAGGTTATTGTTGAAGATTATTATTGAAGCTCTTTGTATATATCTCTTTCAGATATGGAAACAAGCGAAAAAATCCAAGAAAGTGGAATACTTCAATTGTTTGAAAATCTGTTGATTCCACAGTCTCCCTGCACAGCCAAAGTAGCTAACATCATAGCTGAAGTTGCCAAAAATGGTGAGGTTTTCCTCAAGAACTTTTCTGCTGGGAACATCTTCAGTTTTACACCTTAATTGTCAGTATGTTTTATTAATTTATGTTTTAATTTTGTAGATTAGACATTTTTCATTTTTTTATATTTCTCTTTTCTTTGCCTTTTTCGAGTAATTGTTTAAAATGACTATACTTATAGTCATTTTATTTATACATTTCGCATCTGCTATTCCCTTCTTTTAGAGTAGAATTAAAGGAAAACACTGCTAGTCCTTGATGTACCTATATCCTTTATTACTTTGGTTATAGGATTCTTAAACTTGCCACTGAGTCATTTATCTTTATTGTCATAGAGAGCTTAGCTTATTCTTTTAAATGTATCTATTGTTTGTGTTGTACCCAGGTGTGAACTATTTATTTTAGTCTGGTCTATCCTCCTGACATTGGCACTTGACAGCAACAGAGCAGTTGGAGTATATGTTCTGTTTTCTGCATTACCTTCATTGGAAAACATTTAGTTTTTTAATTTTCATTTAAGAATACTCTGGAAAAACAATGACAGGAAAGCTTAGATCATATAATAGCTAATCCATCCATTACATATAGTTTATATCTAATAAGAGATTCTTTACAAGAATTTATTGTAGCAGAAATATTTGCATATGATTTTTTTAATTTGGTCAATTTGAGAAAACCCTGACTTAAAGCAGTTTTTAACATTAAGAGAGGGCCATACTAAATGTAATACCTTTAGTTTGTCTCAGGATATTGTTTTAGGCATTTTATTTTAGTAAGTTGCACTTTTAGAAAAAAAAAATTTAATTCTGTGTAATCACTATGTCAGGTGGTTTTGTACAATACCAATATATGTTGTTTTTAGCCCAGTAAAACAATTTGTTCATAAATGTATTACCAAAAAGAAAATTACCATGACATTATTTTCATTTGTTTAGAGGTTCTCAAAATGTCTTTCAGGCTTCAGTAAGGTTTTTGTATTTAAATCACAAATAGCTATTATAATTATATTATCACTATACTGTGCTTTGGATTCAGCTGGTCATAAACATTCAGGTCTTGAAATATTTCATGTACTTCAAGCAGATTTGAACTGCTGTGAATTAGTAGTGATTACCTCAGGACAAAAAAGAACTTATGAAGCAGATTTAGTTTGAAAATAGATCCCCCTCAGAAATAGTTTGTTAATCTAGACAAGTGGTCGGCAAACTCATTAGGCAACAGAGCCAAATATCAACAGTATAACAATTGAAATTTCTTTTGAGAGCCACATTTTTTAAACTTCTTCTAATGCCACTTCTTCAAAATAGACTCACCCAGGCCGTGGTATTTTGTGGAAGAGCCACACTCAAGGGGCCAAAGAGCTGCATGTGGCTTGTGATCCACAGTTTGCTGACCACAAACTGTGGTCTATAGTTGGATATAGACCAACTATAACACTATCTGACTCTTAGATGCAAAGAAGCTTTATTTTTAAGATCAAGTAGTTGATTTTTAATCTCATTAGAATCACAATATAGATTTCCAGAAACTAGGGATGTAGATAGTAGGTACCACTTTGAGAGAGGATGACCATCACAGTCATTCTGTAATATCTATATTTCTGTATGTAGATCAATTTATTTTAAACATATTCCTGAAAAATTACTGGTATGTTTTCACATTTATCCATCTGAAGTAGTTAACTTCATGTTTTTAAAACTAGCTAATGAGGGCTGCACTCCTTGCTTTAAAAAGTAAATTGTTTGAAAAGCAAAAGGTTCTGGAAGAAGTTAACTTTCTCCAGGTACTGGTAGTGATGCTTTTACATTGATTGAAAAAGCTGAGGAATATACTAATTTTATCTTTTAAAAGAATTGAGCTTATTAAAATATAACATTTTGTATATTTAAGGTATTCTTTTGTTTTTTTAAATTGGTTTCAGAGAGAGGAAGAGAGAGAAACATCAATGATACGAGAGAATCATTGATTGATTGCCTCCTGTACACCCCTACTGGGAATTGAGCCCGCAACCCAGGCATGACCAGAATTGAACCATGACCTCCTGTTTCACGTGTTGATGATCAACCATTGAGCCACACTGGCTGGGTTAAAGTATTCTTTATATGCTTTGGGATAAAAAATTCAGTTCAGAACAGTTTTACTTAATCCACAATTTTCCTATAATTATTTACCCTTTTTCATTGCAAGAATACTGAATATCAATTACAGCATCAAAAATTTGAAAGATAGGTTGATATAGACAATTAGAACATAAAAGCAAAGAAAAATAGTAATTCATCAGTGCTGCCATTACCTAAAGAATACCAACAACAAAATAAACAGAAAAAAAACTAAGATATAACCACAGATTCCATTTATGAAATGAATGCAAATCAGACTGTTCCTAAATCTTTTATTTTTGTAGTCATTTAAATATTCCACTATTAGAAACTAGGCATTGGGAGAGATGAAAAGCATAATGAAGATCTGCCTTTAATTTGATTAATTTGAATTAGTGACAAGTTATTTTAAGGTTTGAAAGCTATAGATTCTAAACTAATTATTAATTTAAGAGGTAGATAAGTAGACTGATGTGTCATTTTCTATAGTCATTGAAACCATGGAAGTACTATTATATAGTATAATTTTCAGTAGGTCATAGAATATCTCATAATACTGAGTTCAAAACAAAACATTGACAATATAGTTAAAGGTTAGCTTTAGAAGTAAGAAAATATTTTTAATCTTTGAGTTTAAATTATAGGGGATTTTCAGTAATTTAGAGGTGAGTAAGAGATATGATAGAAATGCAATCCTTTATTTAGGTAGAGAGGAATATCTCTTGACTTAATAGCTATGTTAGGGAGAAAAGAAGCTGCTTCAGAGGTAACAGTTCACATAATAGCCCTATATGATATGCTCTAAGAATTTGAAATGAAGGAAAAGAGGGATATTGTTTATGGAGGGTACTTGTCATACCATTTTTTTAAAAAACTATATTTTATTGATTTTGTACAAAGAAGAAGGGAGAGAGATAGAGAGTTGGAAACATCGATGAGAGAGAGTCATTGATCAGCTGCCTCTTGCACACCCCCTACTGGGGATATGCCCGCAACCAAGGTACGTGCCCTTGACCGGAATCGAACCCGGGACCCGCTAGGTCCCCAAGCCGACTCTCTATCCATTGAGCCAAACCGGTCCCGGCTACTTGTGGTATCATTTAAGAAGTTGACCCTCACTGAGTGAAAGGATTATGTAGGATAAATTATGGTTTGAAGAACTAGATCTTTATTGACTAGAACATTCAGTAAGTTGTGATATTCAAAAGGATGAATCTAATATTGGTTATTAGAGAACTTTCATCAATTAGGTATATTTATATCCTTAAATTTTGTATTAGTCTCTCATGAGACATTGTATAAAAGTTTGTCTAATCATGACTTTGATGGTATCATTGGAGTGTTAAATTTAGAATGGTATATTATAAACCCAAGAGAAAATAATGTTTGAAGTATAAGAATATGTTTGAGGCTTTAGATCAAATGTATGGGAACAACAGCAGATGTGAGCGATCCATAAAATGAATTTTAATAAGGAGTAGGAATGAAGATAAGGAATAGATGGTTCTTTTGAATCTTATCAATGGAAAAGGTGTATTTATGACTAGAGGCCTGGTGCATGAGATTCATGTACTCGGTGTTAAGGGAGGTCTCTTAGCCCGGCCTGCTCCCTCTGGCAGTCTGGGAACTCCCTCTGGATGTCTGACGATGGCTTAGCACTGCTGCTGAGGCCGGAAAGGCTCCTATCACCAGGGGGCAGCTCCTGCGTTGAGCATCTATCCCCTGTTGCTCATTGTGCTTCATGGCGACTGGTTGTTCCATCATTCTGTCGATTTGCATAATAGCCTTTTATTATGTAGAATTAGAGGCCCGGTGCACGAAATTCATGCACGGGGGTGGGATGTCCCTCTGTCCAGCCTGCACCCTCTCCAATTTGGGACCCCCTCAAGGGATGTTTAAACAGGCAGTTGGACATTTCTCTCACAATCCAGGACTGCTGGCTCCCAATGGCTCACCTGCCTGCCTGCCTGATTGCCTCTAACCGCTTCTGCCTGTCAGCCTAATCACCCCTAACCACTCCCCTGCCAGCCTGATCAGCACCTATCTGCTCCGCTGCTGACCCAATTACCCTTAACTTCCCTCCCCTATAAGCCTGGGTCCCCCCCCCCCCCCGCCCAATTACCTTACCTTGCAGGCCTGGTCCTTCCCAAATGCCTTCCCCTGCTGGCCTGATCGCCCACAACTTCCCTCCCCTGCTGGCCATCTTGTGGCAGCCATCTTTGACCACTTGTGGGCAGCCATCTTGTGTGTTGGAGTGATGGTCAATTTGCATATTACCTCTTTATTATATAAGATTATTATATAAGATGATCACTTGAACCTTTTAAAAATATTGTATTTTGAATTTCTGGAAAATATAGAGTGAAAATTATGCAATTTGATGGCTTAGTTTGTAACTGTAATACAGTAGTCCTCACTTAGTGTTATTAATAGGTTCATAGAATTGTGGTGAAACAATTGATGACAAAACTAATTTTACCATAGGCTAATTTGATATAAACAAGACTTAGATTTCTTCTGCATCTCATCAGCATTTTAACAAAACAGAATTAAACAGAACAAGCTGTTTGAGGACCTGCTGTACTTTAATTATCAGGCTCATGGAAAGACTATTACCAGTGTTTCCACCATCACAAGCTGCTTCTTAAGCACATACAATCATTATAAGAAAATGGTGATATATTAGGTATAAAGTAAGTTAATTAAAAATCCTTTTGGTTTATGGCAGACTATTAGCAAAGGAAAATATGACCCCACTCATTTTTGTGTACTTTTTTCATGAAGTATGTAGTAGAGTACCAGTGGTAATTTTGAACAGAAATGTACTCTTCAATGGTAAGCCACTTTAAACATTTTAATAGTATTTATTTTATTAGGGAACATAATTTGTAACTTGTGAATTTTTAGATTTTTAATTAAATATGTCTTTTATTTTCAGAGTTCATGCGAACTCCGTGTGTGGATGCTGGATTGATTTCACCACTGGTGCAGCTGCTAAATAGCAAAGACCAGGAAGTGCTGCTTCAAACGGGCAGGGCTCTAGGAAACATATGCTATGATAGCCGTAAGTGTTGAAATATCAGTGATGCACTTATAAACTTTTGCTTAAAGATTATGATTTTCAGACTAATTTCCCTTTTAATCTTAGCATTGTCTTTTCTAGGCTAAGCCACTAACAGGGGCCTATATGACAGCTCTGCTCATTTAGTAGAACTGGTGGAAATTTGTTACTAGTCTTAACTAAGAAATTATAGAAAATGATAGTGCTTTTCCTCTGTTATCACAAATTATATTTTCAGGGGAAAGTCAGTCAGTTTCTAAGAAATTGGGGCATTTAATTAAATATATTTGTATCTTTTTAATTAGTTTTTATTGAAGTACTGTTTCTGAATGAGAATGTTTATGAACACTATTTTTTTAAAGTTTTGAAGTCTGTCCAAATAAATTTTTATTTCATTTTTTTTAAACATATTTTTATAGATTTCAGAGAGAAAGAGAGAGGGAGAGATAGAAACATCAATGTGAGAGAGAATCATTGATCGGGTGCCTCCTGCATGCCCCACACTAGGGATCAAGCCTACAACCTGGGCATGTGCTTTTGACTAGAATCAAACCTGGGATCCTTCAGTCCACAGATGAATGCTCTATCCACAGAGCCAAACCTGGCCAGGGCAGTCCAAATATACTTTTAATTACTTGCAATTCAGTAAATACCATTCATAAAAACTATTACCTTCTCAAAAGCTAGATTGGCCTACTACATCTGCATTGAGTCCATTCCTATTTGTCACAAAGCCATTATCATCCTCACCGTTTTCTGTAACACACTGTTATAGGCAAAAAAAGAAAGCAAGAACTTGGACATGGATATATTGCAAAAATTTTACCCTTCCTACTTTTGTCACATATATGTAAACAAAATATAGAAAAATTTTGAGTATATTTGATTTAATTAGATTTATCCTGGTTTTCCTTAGATTTATGTTTTCTGAGCCCAAAACAAATACTTTAAATTTCACCTTTAAAATCTCTTAGGAATTTAATTTTATTATATAACTAGGATAACTTTTATTGCTTATTTTCTTCATTGAGTTTATAATTCACCTTTTACATGAGCTCTATTTTGTTATAAACACACAAGACAAAGCCTTTTTATAATAGACAGTGTTTCCAATAGTGATTTGTGCACATAAACTAGATATTACGTAAGGTAATAAACATAACCCTGAAAAAAGGGTTAAAACTACAGCTTTCAGTCATAACTTGTCTGTAGCAGTGGCGGTAAGGTTAGCCTCCTATATTCTCCTTTCCTTCCTTTTTCTGGAACATTAACTATTATATAATGTCTGAAGAAATAGATGCTAGTTCTTTTTTGCTAGGATGTTAACTTTATTTATAAAATTCTAGTGCTGTATGTTTATAATTTGCATTTTCATACTTAATGTTTTTATTAAACACTATAGCTTACAATGTTAGTTTTCAAGAATGAACCACTTATTTATATTTTACATGATTAATTTTAACAATATATATTATAAAGACTTCTACAGAGTAATTGTGAATGATTGATGGCATATACTTGGAGAGCACTGATCATTACAATCCTGTTTTATTTTTAGACTTTAAGGCTATCCAGAGTATTTTTTAATATTTTTAATTTAGTTATTCTTGAATTACCCATTGTTTGAACATAGGAGATACCTGTTTAGTATACTTTTGCCTTGAGTTTCAATTAATATTGCTAAAATAGAAGAAACACCCATAGTGATTTATTGTTTCATATTGCTCTGGTTGTTATGGGCACAGAGTAATTTTATTTCCTGTGTACTAAAGAACCTTGAAGTTAGGGTAATAAATGTCTAGTTAATATGATTATTATTTTGATGAAACCGCAGTCCATTATTATAGTGTTTTTATCATATCCATTTACTCTGTTCTTACAAGGTATACAGTATAAAATCTTTAGGCTATGATGTTTGTTTTTTAAATTTCATTTATCAGTAATATTTATAGCCACTTTGTTCTCATTTAATTTAATGGAAATTATAGTTCCATGGAAAATTGAGCATAGTGAATACAGGCTGTTTTTTATACTTTTAAATCTTTTTTAAGAAAAATGAAGTTAATTGTCTTAAAAATTAATATAAGAAGTAATTTATTACTATAAATCATTTGATGAAATGTGTTCATTGTGTCCTGTTTATGCATATAATTTTCTTAAGAATGTATATTTTCTTACCTTTTATTTGAAATTAATTTTCTGTGAAGTTCTTATTGATTTTTCCAAAGAATTGTAGGAAAAACATAGTACCTATATTTGAATTACAAGAATAACATAAAAATCTATAAATATGATGCCATGTAATTGACTTGTGAATTTACTTGAAATGTATTTTTCATATTTTATGACAATTGGCAGTTTGAAAGGACCAGAAATTAGATTTCTCTTTTTAAAAGTTTTGAATGGCTTCTATTTTAATTTTAACTTTACATCTTGAGAATGTAGTTTTCTATTATCCTTCAAAGAATACAAGAAGTCTTATAAATACAAGAAGTCTTTTTCTTATAAATAACAAGTCTGTATAAATACAAGAAGTCTTTTAAATACAAGAAGTCTTTTTCTTATAAATAATATGTTTTAAAATTCACATTTGTGTTTTATAAACCTTATACATTGGAATAATCAGTTTACTTACATTTTATATACTCTAAATGTATAATTTTTGTGTGAGTTTATTCAGAATAATTCTAGGTTTATGATAGTAAAGAACCACAATGAATTCACTGTTAGAAATATAAATTTGAGAAATGTGTGCCTATTTTACAGATCTTTATTTTAATATTAAAAAGTAAAGTTTTTGCTAGCATATTTCAGCTATATATAAATCCATGGAAATCTTTTGAAAATAGGTTAGATTTCAGTTCTTCTAGCTTTTACCAGATCTTAGGAAAGCTTCCTAATGGGAGGAAACAATCTTACATAATGCTAACATCTGGTAACAGACGATAAAACTGCTCAATGGGACATAGTAAGGCTTAATTGTTGGTGAACTTTTTAATTCCCAGGCTCTCTCTTGCATATATTATAGAAATGAAAGAATCGCCTTGTGGAAACATTAAAATACCTGGTCTTTTTTTTCTGTTTTTCAAAAAAATATTCAAGGCACTTCTGTTATAGATTTCTCTTTAGAACTATGCAAGCAGACTTTTGATATAAGCAACATTTTAAACTCTCTTGCTCTGGAACTTTGGCAAAATAACCTTTTCTATCAAAGAAGAAAATTGTGTTTCATTTTTAGATATCAGCAAAGTTGTGATTGGAATATGCTAGGGAATGTGATTTTAAATAAATGGAAGTATTATCCCTAATTGGTGTGGCTCAGGTGGTTGAGCATTGTCCCATGCACCAAAATATCGCCATTTTGATTACCAGTCAGAGCATGTACCGAGGTTGCGGGTTTGACCCCTAGTCAGGGTTAATGTTTCTCTCTCTCTAAAATTAAAAAACAAACAAACACGTTTAAACGTTTCAGTAATGAACATCTTTGGCCTGTATAATTACATGTTCCTTTCCAATGAGTTATTTTATTTTCCTTATATGGCTATCTTTGCCCTTTCTTTCAGTATTAGCTTTGTCTACATAGCTGTGCACATTTTCAATTGCTGATATATTTAAATAGTTTTACAGTATTGATTAGCTCCATATTAAATTTACACCTTTTATAATTCATAGGGATAAATTGATGATGGAAGAAGTTTTTTCCTGTTTGTTTATGTTACTGCTTAAGGTTAGGAAATAATTGATATGGGATATACTGTTTAAAAGTTAGATAGTAGAAGCTTGAAGAAAATGATTACATGAAATTAAATATATGTGTTTAATACATCCGAGAATATATATAATATATAACTCAAATTAATACATGTTAAAATTGAATAACTGTCTTTCTTGCTGTTTAAATTGAATCTTTTTAATTTTTTATGCCTTATAAAAAGATGAATAATTACCGGTAACCTTTTCCTGCTGAATAGAATTGTACTTCTAGAGAAACTGTACTGTTATCACTTCAAGTTGAATTTTAAATCAGAGCTATATGGACATGTGCACATACACACACACATACACATAGACTAGCATGATTTATTTTAAGCATGAAATAGTTTGATACAAAAGCATCTTTTATTTCTAAAATAATTGGAATAAAATTTTATTTTGATCTTGAGCAGTTGGACTAATTGGAGCAATAAATTATTTCCATTGTTACCTGAATGTTCTTTAGAAGTCATTTAAGAAAATTTTATGGAAATAATTTACTTCTTTTATATGTAACCACAATCTTCTGCTAATAAAATAAGTATATAAAAATATAGGAAATAGTGTAACTTTAGTGATTTCTTTAGCAAATGTCTGGTGATTTATAGATGATTCATTATTATATAAAGGCTTTTTGAAAAAAATATAATTTTCAAAAAATTTTGACTGATGTGAGAAATCTATTGTATTACAGAAATTAATACCACTGTCAGCAGACACACATGAGCTGTGTCTTATCAACTGCCATGCCATGACCTAATTTTATATTGCATCTGTGGGACTTGTGCTTTCCTGTTCCTGCACTATAAATGTAAATATTTGGAATTTTCCTGCATGAAGGCAGACTTTAAACCTGAATATAATGCTCTGTCACAAGAAGCTTTGTGCTTCTTTCTTGACATATGAATATTTAACAGTCATGGTGGTTGTTTTTTTCATGAGTCATTTTTATAATTTCACTGGTGTAACATTTATAGCTTTTGTTTTTATATCTAGGCTTTCATGCATTTTGCCTGCACCTGGATCATGAGTAAAATGCATTTTAAGTTTTAGTAAAGATATTGATGGGTTCTAATTTTTCAGGGAACCATAACTGTGTGGAAATCACACGCAACTTTTTAAAAAGTAATTTGATGTTAAAATTGATCAACTAATAGCCAAGCCTACAGGTGAAAATATTTCATGGTTTCTGAGAATAGGATCAATTGCATAAATCTTACATGAAGGTCTCATGCCTTTTTCCTCTTTAT